TCTCCGTTCCTATTCAACTTTGCCATTGAGGATGTCTTGAAGAACGCTCTAAGCGATTCGTTGAACGCTGGCGTTGAGCTCCTCCCAGGTAGTCGAGTTGTTGATTTGGATTATGCTGATGATATCGTCTTGCTGGGTGACGATCCACACGTCGTCCAACTTGCATTAAACCGCTTGGCGATTGAAGCATCAAAGTACGGTATGTACTTTTCGCCATCCAAATGCAAGGCTCTCTTCCAAGACTGGCAGGTGCCTCTGCCTGCACTCACGCTTGCTGGTGAGACACTAGAGGTTGTGGAGAGCTTTGTCTACTTGGGAAGTTGCATCACTGCTGGCGGGGCTGTTGGAGACGAGATTTCGATGCGCATCTCGAGAGCACGCCTCGCTTTTCTAGGCTGAGGCATTTGTGGCGTCGCCACGACATTCGTCTCTCCATCAAAGGGCGGGTCTATTGTGCAACTGTTCGTGCTGTACTGTTGTACGGATGCGAGACCTGGCCCATTTGTAAAGATGACTTGCGCAGGCTATCCGTCTTCGAGCACCGCTGTCTGCGGTCCATTGCCCGTGTGTGGTGGTAGCACCACGTAAGCAATGTGGAAGTTAGACAGCGTGTCTTGGGACGTGGAAGCCACTCGCTCGAGGAGCTCATCTCACTGCATCAACTGCGGTGGTTGGGACACGTATTGCGCATGCCTGTCCAGCGTTACCCCCGTCGTGCGTTGTTTGCACTTGCTGGACAGGGCTGGAAGAGACGGTCTGGTGGACAGCCTACAACATGGAGAAGCCGCATGAAAAAGCTGACGAAACAGTTGGCCTCGGCCGGTTGTTGTCGACTACCTGGTTGGGGTCCGAGAGATGCGGATACTTGCTGGTTGAAGACCTTGGAAGCCATGGCTCAAGATCGATGTCAATGGCGGACGTGTGCATCGGTTTGTTGCGGTGTCCCTTCTTCCTCCCCCTAAAAAAGAACAAACTGAAAAATTTCAAAAACTGTGAGTGGTAAAATAGACAAAAAAGCATTTGTTGTTGCTTTTTTCTTATCATTCATATTGTTTTCCTATTCAGCCATGATTCCGATGGCACAATATCTGTACCACAGATTGTGTATTATATATATATATATATATATATATATATATATTTATATACTCATCTGGTTAGACATATTGGCTTTAGTGGTTGCACCGCCTCAAAGTTTACCGCGCACCTTGATCAGTGTGGTGTTGATAAATCGTGTAAAGAAGTTTGGAAATTCGCAACCGACCACCCGGTATTTCAATAATAAACAATCAACAATCGTATATGACAGGAAACCACGATTTTTTGACAAATTTCGTAAGATTAACAGAGTTTAAATTATAAAACCAAAGCTTAAGAATCATGGAAAAAGGATGGACGAATTCGGGTTTTAAGCGATTCACAAAGCTATTCACATGAACACCGATGAAAGTTTCGTCACAGTCATTTCGTCATCCTATTCGAACTGGCGACATCACGTAATGCAAATAGGATAGTGTGTCGTCAGGAAGTCTTTTAAGAAGCGTTAATGTTGGAACCAGGATGACATGAGTTAAAAGAGCTTTCCATGTTCTGGATATCCTAGGGGTAAAGTGTTTTGCCAACAATCAAGTCAACTGTAGTGTTTAAAACCAGTTTGAACTGGTGGGCTCTCAGGTTTCAACTCTAGTTGAGTCGCAGTTATTCGCGACAGGCGTGATTTGAGTTCGTCAGTATTAAATAAACCATGCTTAGTTCTCCTCGGTGACACCGATACTCACCACTGTGCAACCCCATGGCTTGCAGTCTGCCACGGTAGTGGACGTATTACAAGTTCCCAACGAAGTTGGTGACTCCACCTTGTAGAGCGTTAGTGTCATGGATGCCAGGCTTGAATCGTATACTTAACGTGGGACCTCACATGCGTATTCAACATTTGCGGAAAGACTGAGGGCTCGAAATTTCAGAAAGCCCTCCGTAAGCTTCCATGGTGCTGATTAGATTTTTGATGACTTTTGGACCTAATTCGAGCAGCTAAGATCAGCCTGCACTATTAGACCCGAGCTGGCTTTCCTTGGAAGCAGGTTGCAAATGCTGGCCCCCAACTCGATGTTCATGGGTAAGCTGATGGCGTACGCTCACAAATTTGCATTACGCCATCTTGAGTTACAGGCAATTTTTGGATGACCATGGATAGGCCCCGTCGAGATTGCTCTCTAGTGCCGTGTGAGCGTCCACTGTCTCATTGTTATGCGAGATCTTGACACCGTATACAAAGAGTAAAAGGGCAATCGGAACACAGAGACTAGATCGTCGTTAAAGACTAGGAACAAACGTGAACGCAGTAACAACCTAGTACACTGGATTTCAGTTAAGCCAGAAATAGAACTGAGGAGTCACACATTCAGCTGACGTCGAATGAAGAAGTTGCTTATACAACCAAGCAAGTGATCACCGATTTCATGGATAAAGAGCTTGTGAAGGAGAATACGGTGATCTGAGCAGTCGAACGCATTTGAGAAGTCCAGGTAGATGACATCGACTCCCACTTTTCATCTATTGATTCGGTCCAGCTTGCTTGGCCTAGCAGCAGGTTTGTTGTGCAGGACCGATTTCATTGGCATCCGTACTGCTGTGACATTATGATGCTGTTGTTCTCAAGCTATCCCATGAGTGCCTCTACAGTAATACTTTCTATTACTTTGGATTCCACCCGAAGGAGTGTGATTAGACGGTAGCTCGAGAGCTCCGCACTATTCCTTCTCTAGTAAATAGAAGTGACTATTCCATGTTTCCACACTGAGAGAACCGGCATTTCATCAGAGGGACTTAGAGAAAGTCAAACTAACAGTTCGGAGATATTCAAGCCTGTTGTCTGTGTGATGTCTTCGGTCTATTGTCATCCTTGCCAGGAGAGCTGTGTACGTGGAAGTACAGTAGTCTTTTCTTCACACTTGCTGTCGTGCACGATACTCGACTTAACGCTGGGTCGGTGGGAGCTGTGTCAAAGGCGGTCGAGATGACGATTCATTCTGGAAAGTGCGCATGAAGTGTTTCCAAAGCGTGTTTACTACCTCGAGTGTAGTTATTGCCGGACAATCTGTTGCACGTGGAACTGATATTCCGCGATGCAATCTGTGGAGCTTGTTGTCGTGCCAGTACAGTAGATAAGAATAATTCTTGCATTTCGTTGCTAAGTCCTGTTGGTGCTAGATTCAGTTCAATCGCAATGGTTTCGTAAGCACTTCAGACCGGCAAACTGGCACAGGCTTTGTAAGCGCGCCAGGCTGAATCACTTACGGTCATGAATTTTCGAGTCGGGCTGCTCAGGAAGTACTTCGTCTGTTGAAGTATAACCTACTGTGGATATTTCGTCTGCTCTGTTGCTTTGCTGGCGGAGTACCCTGGTGTGTAGTTCTTACAGATCCTACCTTAATTGGCTTATCATTGAAACGGTGAAGCAAGTTGGTATTTCACTGTAAAACTAAGGAAGTTCCATTTTTGTTATTTCCCTGGATAAGATTATGGGACTCATTCACATCAAAGGTTAAATACTCACTAGGGTTGGCGTAATTTTGTTGCCAAGAAAGTTTTGTGTTCAGTTCCTTAATTCTGGTCCTTAACTTCTGCTTTGCCTGAGATGAACTCTTTCCCTTTCCCATTGAATCTTTATTATCTGTGATGTCGTTATCATTTTAGTTACATGACTCCTGGGGACTGGATCAGATGTATTTACCTATTGAACGGGACGACCACGATATCATCCAGCGCCACTTCGCTGATGCCTGGAATTGGTCGATGAGGAACACGCTTCCATTCAAGCTGAACAAGTGCTGTGTTGTTCACATCCAACATCCACACGCCTATGTGTACAGATTTAGAGCTCACGATCTACAGATTTTTCTCAGAAAAGTGACCTTGGTGTGCTTGTAGACGTTGTTCCTGACAGACCACATCCGCTACAAAGAGTGATAACAATCATGGTCACTTCCAGAGAGCACCCGGAAGTTTGGATTCATCCATCTTCTTTCTGATGCTCGACTACTGCCTGTGCCCGTACGTCGAGTACGCTATCGAGGCATGGCAATGTTGGCTAAAGTTTGACCACGCAGCGCTATAAAACCTCCAACGTATGGAGAAGGGGAAATGTCAAGAGTTTCCGTCACTTTCCGTACTTAGAACGGCTGGAGAAACTCGGAGTCTTCAGTAGACGCTACCGGCGGTTACCTGGAGGCCTCACGATACTGAAACATCCCATTCTCTTATACCTCCAACTTCGTGAAAGCAGCCCGAACACCAAACTAAGTGGCAATAGCTTGAAGTTAAGTCAACAATGTAATCGCCTAAAGTGTTGAACGATTTGCTTTTCCATCTAGGACGTCCAAACCTGGGACCTCCTTCCCAACGCAGTTATCCCTGCCTCCACCATAGCCATTTTCAAAAACAGCTGGGCTTCACATTTAAAATCCCGACATTTTGTTGTTTAAACGGATACACAGGGGTGTATTCCGGTTCCCTATGGCTGTGAATTAATAATCCACACTGAAGCAAGTACATCAATGAAGGGTGGAGAGTTATGCAATTGTTCTTTGTAATGTACATTAGACAAAATAACTTGTTAACCCGTTCCGCCCGGAGCCAACACATTTCCACAATCCTACTTCACAAATGCCGTTATGCAGTCGCTTCGCTGATTTGTATCTTATTTTGTCCACTTGTATATCTTCGAATTTGCCATTCTTATCCTTACCAGCCTAAAGAATATCTTAAGCCTGTGCTTCTAACACGCGAATCTACTATATTCAATGCGTGGTTAACTTTACTGAGTAGCTGGAAGAAATATGTTTGCCTCTGTCTTCAACTGTTCTCCCAACGACTGTGTCTCACACATTCCACTTTTCTCCCTGGCATTTTATTACCTAGACCCCTTGTGACAGAGTTTCATACGAATAAGTTCAAAAATGGAGAAGCAATTGGACGAAACAAATGCCAGTGTGACTTACATTTGACAAGTAGAAATTCACGAAATTCGTTTGGGTCGGTAAACTCAGCAGGATTCGGCAGTGGGGGTCCGAATATTGGCACTGACTCTTCAGCAAAGACATTCAATCTAATATTTTTGAATGCATGTCAATACGTATATGCTCAAACTTACTTGTATGTGACTGTTTCTTTGTGATATGTCACAATAGCAAAGATGTCTACATCGCAGGAGAGTAAAGGGAAGCATGCAGTTACAGTTTACTAGAAATTCGCTAGTAACCTCGTAAGGCACTATTTAAATACATTCCGGACAATAGATGTCTGGAAAATCAGTACTCGGTTGCATCAGAGAATCAGCAGCATTGCGCATTAACGTGACATAATCACTGTGCTCAATATAACATCCTGGTGAGTTCACCAAAATGTCTTCATTGCACTGAAGTTACTGTTTCACAATTTAGCCACTCTTCCATCGCTGGGATAATTTATGCATTAGCTAGTTTTACCCAAACGAACCTATCTACTTCGAACCGCCGTGTCAAACGTTACTCGCGGGGTTCAATGGCCTAGTGATCCTGACGATAGCCGTCAAACACTACGTGCCGAGTTCCACTCTCAGATTAGGCTATCTCTGTCTGAATGGTCCAAATCAGGACGAAACCGCTCCGCCGTGGAGTGCAGGGATGGGGGAGAGCCACACCGAAGCCCACCACTTCGGTCGGATATGGTCCCAGTGATCGGAATGTCAGAGGTTGGCTACAAAGTCAACTGAGGCCAAAATTGAAACGCGTGTTGCAATCCAAGGCACACAGCGGGTACTCAAAAACCTGAACATCAACTGCTAACCGCTGTGTCACGATGTGTTCGCAGAGCTTAAGTGTCTAGTGAACATGGTGATAGTCGTCAAGTACTGTACGCCCAACTTGGCTTTTTCTACCTAATGAGTCCAAACCAGGTCGAAACCGTTGGTCGTGGATTGCGGGGATGGGAGAGAGCAACACTGCCAGGCCGCACTTTGGTCGGACCTTCTCAGTGATCGGAATAGCTGAGGTGTACTTCAACCTCAACTAAGGATATAAATGAGATTACTTGTCGCAATCCAAGACACACAGCGGGTACTGCAAAACCCACTGTGGAGCTAGAACCCTGCTTTTACGAGTCAGTGGCTAAGATCATTAGACCTAAGGGACGGCAGCGGCCGACATAGTGTGATATAAACCGGCACACTCTTTATCGACCTGCAGGTTAGTCTCATACAGAGGCAGGGTAGCTCCCAAGTGACCACTTATCAAATTAAAGCCACCGACTTTCTGACTTACAGTATGCCGATGATATTGACCCAAGCTGTTTCTGTCCACAAACATGCGAAACTGCACTGGTCGGATTAGCAATGACAGTGAACCGTTTCAGGCCTTACTTCGAAACCTTAACCCGCAAATCTTCCGCACAAGATTAGCAAGTTTGACTCCTTGCAATGAGTCTTATTGAGGATCAACTAGAAGCTTGCCAATGATTTAACTACGTGCGCAGCTATATGAGTACCTATGGAAAGTATCCAAAGTGACAAACCGTATAGGAAACCGTATGGCAAAAGCTCAGGGCACTTTTGTTCATCATTTCCATTTGTGGCTTCTTGGCGACATCACACTACTGTTGTATGGTAGAGTCTATAGTGCCGTCGTCCGTCCAACTCTACTGTACTGATGTATAGACATAAGGAGGGCTAGTTGCCATCGACCAACTGTGTTTCAGAAGTTAAGCTCACGTCTGATGGGAACACCCCTAGAGCAATGAGCATGTCCAGTAACTCGTTTATGTCGCAACAAAGTGAAACGCACCGCTCAGCATCACGATCTCACGCACTACATCATACGTTACGCATGCATACACAGCGACTCCTGCGGCATGCGCTGTTTGCGTGACTGAAATGTGGGTGGAAGGAGCAGAAGGGAAGCCAACCGATGCCATGAACAAGATAGACGAAGTTTGTTGCTTCGAAGTTGGCCACAGTTGGAGCCTTTCAGCTGCCGGGTTGGGGCCCGAAAGGCGATGAACACGTATGGTTGAATGCACATATTCCCATGGTGAAGAGCCGACGACGACGACGAAGATGATGATGATGATGTTGATGATGATGATGATGATGATAATCAGAGTGATCAACAGGTTAGTCTGAGTACTGAGAATGAAGAATAGGGTGCTTAGAGCAATAGCTTTTGGGCTTCATCACAGCTTGACTTGGACTGCGATTGCATGTCAAGAGAATCAGTGGACGGCCATTGCATTCCCTATGAAGTTGCCAGAAATATGCATTCCATCTGGTCTCGGTGGGTCCATGAGTCATGACGCTACTCTAGCGAGCCAGTGATCAAGACGATTAGATCAAGTAAGACAGCCACGACCGAGCTGAGTAACTTACTATATGGACTAAGCAGCACTCTTCCCATATTACTTATAACCATATGAGCTGATTGGCGACTTAGTTTAAAGAACCAATTGCTCGAGAGGAGGCCACTCTGTCCTTTATACGTCAATGCAGCGCAAGTCAATAGAGAATGAGCTGTACTTTAACTCCATTAGTAGCCTGATCCTGTCGATTGTTGCGTTCCTCCGTGGACCAGTGATCTCAACCACATGTGCGTAGAGGAATGGTTGCAGTGCTGACTAGAAGCCATGTCCATGTTTATCCGAATGTGCGATGGGCAGGTAACACACACATACACACACATTCCCTTATAACACGAAAGTTCTACCACAGAGTAGAATAAATGTACTTCGACCATACTGTAGTTGGCCAGTATAGCGGGGCATGAACAGTTGGTTCTGGTTGTTGTTCGGTGTGGCTGAAAGACCAGCTTCTAAATTCTACGTGAACTTTGACTACACGGCCAACCCCTCACTACATGGGCTATTCCCATCAAAACGTAAAGTTTAGTATGAATACAAGGTGGAAGGGAGGATTGTTCTCCTGCAACATCATAAAGTTTGCAGCCTGTGATCCCTTGATCGTTCCGTCTTAAGACCTTTTGATCTCGACGCAGCAGTAGTCACGAAGGAACCTTCGTTTATTTTGCCGAACCGTGGTGCGGACAGCCTATCAGGAGTGGATCAGTATTGATTAAGGTTCAGTTCGGTTACTCATATTAGTCAGGCAATTAGGTGTGATCGGCCTAGCTTTCTGCACTTCTGTGAAGCGATAACAGAGGTGGTCTACCGTTAAAACCATTGCTCACTAGCATAAGCCTCTAACTCGTAAGAAGAAACTACCAGATAATGTGGGTTGTGACCCAGTCCCCAAGGTCTTAAAATGACCATTGGCGTTTTCCATCATCGCATTGGCTCTCTAACTGAGTCTGGCTGTAAGAACCCCTATAATAATTACTTCAAAATATCATACTACTTTTTGACAAACCAGCATGAACATTTCTACGGGTATTCGGTAACCAAGCTTCAAATCTTGCCGTTGAAAGGATACGTGTGAAATGCGTTTTCATCATCGAGGGCATCCATGAAGGTTGTCGGTCCGGTTCAACACCGTCGACGAAAATAATATTTACAATGTCGTTCCCGACGTGCCGTTTACGTTCGATCTGTCGTGAGGAAGAGTGGTGCCAGTTTCATGTACGTATGCATGATTCAACATTTAGAAAGGATGCAGTTACAAAAGGGGGAAACCGAAAACAAGGAGGTTTGAAACACGTCTTATGCAACGCGATAAAAATACAAAGTTTATTTTGTGCTCTACAAATCCTGTTAGTTATTTTAGTGTGTCCATTTTGTTGTACTTTTTGACTATTGGGAGGCATTATTTCTACTAGCGGTTCACACTTTGGCCACCAGCTTGACATCGTCTCTAATTGTCCAGTAATTTCATAATCTGACGCTATCATAAACATTGAAGCCGTTTCGCGTTCTATGCTCCGGCTGGTTTCGATAGATGTGAATCGTATCATAGTTTTGTTTCAGTGACTTACCTGCCGTATGAACCATTTAGCCATCAGATGCAAGGAACCGGCTTTCTGCTAGTGCCAGTTGACCTGATTACCAGAACTTGTGGAAGCGATTTAAGACTCTGACTCGACATGCTTAACGACCGGTCGATACTCAAAGCCCGGCAGTGGTGTCAAACGAAGCTTATGTTATGGAGAATGTATGTCCCAACCATATCGCGCAAGCGCAATCAGCTAGGGCTCAGACACTTTTATTCATACACCAGTGAACATGATTTAACCAGTCTCTGCATTTACAAGAATTCAAAACCTTTTCCGACAAACCTCCATAAGGAATTTATATTCTGCGACCAGACAGCGCTAATACACTCATGTAGTGTTCCACAAGGCTCAGCACTGGGACCGCGCTTATTCCTGATGTTTATCAACGAGCTGTCAAGCGTGATCTCCTCAAATTTCCTGCTTTCCGCCGATGACGTCAAGATATGGCGGACGATTAGGAACAATAAAGATCACAATAGACTCCAACATGACATAGATTTCATTTATAAATGGTCAAAGAGGAACCTGCTCCAGTTGAACATAGCTAAGTTGAAGATGATCCATCTGCTTCACCAGCCGGTGAGCGCTTCCAAGCTTAGAGACCACACCTTGGAGAAGGCCTCTCAAGAGCGGGACCTGGGCGTATTGGTACAAGAAGAACTCGGGTGTTCAAAACAAACAGATAAGGCGACGAGGACCGGCAATCAACACTTCGGCCTGCTACGTAGAGCCTTCGGTTGGTTTGAACCCACAACATTTCCCTAAATGCTTAACATCTAGTTGCGACCGAACCTGGAATATATTATTCAGGCATGGCAGCCGTGGCAGAAACAAGATCTTGTTGCTCTCGAGACTCCTCAATGTAGGGCAACCAAGAACGTCAGGGGCCTCTTTCATCTGACCTATCAGCTTAGACTGAAATCTCTAAGAATCTACAGCAGTCGATATCGGCTTTTGCGGGGGATCTCATAATGGTTTATCAGATTCTGAAGAACCCAAGCCACATTTGCCGTCCGCTGCTGGAACTGAACCACAACACTAAACTAAGAGGTCACCCTCTGAAACTGACAATTCAGTATAGCCGGCTTGAATGCCATAGAAATTTCTTTTCTCTTCGCGTGTGCCAGCCTTGGAACGCCCTCCATAACTATGTCGTCTCTGCACCCAATCTGGCGATATTTGAAAAAGGAGTTGACGATGTGTTGCTCCTTTTGCATTTCATTTTATGAATTGGTAGCCGGGGGCTACAAAACGCAATCAAACGGTGTCATACCAAACTCCCAACCAATGGATTTATGGATTTATACTTTCAATACGCGAATATCCCGCTATTCTACATAAGTCTATGGTGAAACCACCAAAACGCTTTTCACTTTACCATGCAACTTACTTTTCGTAATCATTTCCATCCCACGGGACTCGTTAAGCATTGCTTTTTTACCCGTAATACACCATTCTTCCACTGTTTCATTGTTTCCGAAATGTTTCGTATATATTGTGCCAATTCACTTAGCTACCCAGAAAGTTCTCTGTGAAAAATCATATACGCCACCAAGCCCAGTAGAACATTGAGGCTCGGCACTTTTCTGAGCTAGTAAAAATGCTTACTGTGAAGAGATGGTTTATCGTCTCTGGATCGTGTAGTCGCGTACGGAATGCGCATTCGTCTTAGTCGATCCTTTCAGCTTGCGCGTGGAAACAGTTTGGCGAGTAAGTCTCACGGCTGGCACGAATCCAATTCTGTTAGCTACTTTTCGGTGCACGTATACAATCGGCAGGTCGTTTGCTTCGACTAAGCGAATCGTTACGTCCAGGCCGTTATAAAAATATAGCCGTCAGTAGGCAGAGAAAATTTACACGTCATTTATATCTTTGAACTACTGTATTATATCAGCAGTGATAGATATTCTGTAGTTAATCTCACTTAACGTCTAATACCACTATTCATTTGACATGTGTATAAATCCCAGACACTGAGTTGGTGAAAAGAATCGAGTTTGATGTTGCGCGGTCACTTGTAAGACATTCGTCCAATATGCAGTTAAGTTGTATTGGCTACCCTTGTCACAGCACTTCAACTTGCGTGGGCGCTGGTGCAACAGCAGTATGGTTAGTTTCAGACAAACTAAGCGATGTTCTAAACCATTATTCATCCCAGCGATCAAAATATCAGTTTTATTCAAAAGTAAATTGTGTGTAGAGTTCCAGACATGTGATATGCACCACAAGTTGTCCTACATTTGAGTCCCAACTTGAGTTATCTTCACATGAAGGGCTCAACCAAGGATAACATTAATCTTATGGTGTAGTGTCTCGGAGTGAATAACACCGAATTCTGTCAAAGGGTGCTCGCTGTGCTCATAAAGAAAAAGAACACCAAGCTGCTACACTTTGAGTGCGGGATTCTAGGAGTGTAAACTTTTAAGCGAAGTTAAGCTATCCTTACGATAATAATAACTATACATGTCAATACATCTAGCTTAAGCGTCTTATGTTGGGAAACTTGTCTCATCAACCTCAGTCCCAAGAGAGCTAGAGACAGTGGGAATACTGCCGTTTGACAGGTTCTAATCCAACGTTAATCATTTTTATTTCATCAGACGCTTCAGTGATAAGTAGGCAAAGTAGTAAGAAATGGTTTAAACGAATCCGTGTTTTATTGAGTAACCTTTCAAAAGTAGCCACACGGAAAAATCACAGCGAAAGAGTTATCACTTCACGCAGAGAGCAATCAATGTGCTATAAATGATGTGGTGGTTTTCAAAGAAACCCTGGTCTATGTTTCTCATGAAGACATTGATGTCCAAGCGGTGTAGGTCTAATTGCTTATACAACAACCCCTGAACCTGTGGAGGCGGATATTTCGGGTGTAGTAATGGAAGTATGGGTGCATGAGAAGCGACATATTGCAAAGTGCTTCTGTATAAAGATGAACTCACTGGTAGTGAATAGAGAATTAAGACTACCTCAGCAGTCGTGAGACATTTACTGAACACCGGTTACCAGATCCAAGCCTCACATTCTCATTCTCGACCGAAAGCCGTCGCCGGTCTGTGTGCAAAACAGCTAACAGTGGCACTTAACCTACCGTGGTCGTGCGAAACGCGTCTGTCGGCCACCATTTGGCCACCACCCGATCAAATTTGACTGGCTCTGCTGCGCCTATCCTTGGTTTCATGCGTGTACTTGATGAGATTGCGAGAAATGACGACTTTATAACACAACCTGCAGCTCTGATGTTCTTATTTTAGGTCGTAAATTTATTTGTCAACTTGATAATTGCGATTGGGCTATCATCCTCGTGAGCAGCATTTCCACCCCACCATCAGACGTTGGCATGGCCGCAGCGCCCACCGCATGATGTTTCGGATATGGCGGGTAGTTGCTCATCAGCTGACTTGCAACAGTCACGCTTGGGGCACATGTGAAGCTAAGATCACGTGATATTTCACATGGACCGGCTAACAGTTGTGTGGTGTCTGGACCGGATTAGTCAGGATAGACTGCTTTTACCATTTGGTTCACAACACTGCAGACTCGGCAGTCATCTAATGGGATAAATAAAACCATTTTCCTTTGGACGCGATAGTCAGACTGTTTATCGGATCTATAGTGTACGTAAAACGAAGGTTAGAAAGGGACATCTGGTGCGACTGTGACGGTACTTAGTGGCGTTTACGCTGCGCATGCGCCGAGCCCTCTATTAGCGCCAAGGTGCTATAATCGCACAAAGGTGTTTATCGTAGTCGGGTTTTAGCAGACTCGCTGCTAACAATTTTGGTAAGTGACTATGCACACATGCCTTGGTTTGAAGTGATCTGGAACCACTGCGAGCACACAATAACAGTAACGAGATTTGTGGATTAGTGGTTTTATTTGAAGCTAATGGAATCCAATCCATGCCTGTATGGCTTCATCAGACGCTTATTGATCAACTCACAGCTATCATCTCAATGTCAGACACTAAGTATCGCAAGTTTGATAGGATATACCAAACTGCTTCACCCTCGAACTCACTTGTTGACGATGTTCGCTGGAGAACGGTAGCATGGTCGAAACATGAAACATGATCTCGTGTCCTTCGTACACAGTGTAGACAGAGTATGAGCCGGTCGTATCACCTGGAAGGGGAGGTTTAGCATAGCGTACGATAAGCAGTTAGCACCGTATGGTGATTTTATCAGAGACAATAACTGTCGCAAACACGCCGGTTTACTTACTTCCATGCATGACTATGGCTTATCGGAAAATAAGTGCAGCGTTAGTCATTCTCTTGGTGCTGTGTTGTCATCATTGCAAGTAGCAACCACACTGTAGTGGCATTATCCCAAGTATCCTGCATGTACTTAGCAGGTCAAAAGATAAATCTAATTAGGATGTTTCGTTAATCTACAGCTCATTTACATTTCTTGAGAAAGTAGTGGGTGATTTGAGTGATATAACCAAAATTTTATCACATTTTAACTTAGGCAGACAGCCATCACTCTTGAAAATGCACAGTGCGGCTGGCTCGTTCTTTCGGAAATCGTCAGCAGTGTGCATTCCATCTGAGCCTATGAAACCGTACCTGCAACTCGACTATTGCCAGACGTTCGAAATATGTGGGACTGGAAAGACCATCGTGACTGGATGTGATATAGTGCCGCTCACTATCTAATGACACACGTTCTTACCATGTATAGGGCAAGGTAGATGACTCATCACGCGAGGAACTTCTCGGACTTAAGTCGCCAATAAACTTATGGCTTTGTAAGCAGTATGATCTGCCTAATTATTACAAAACAGCACTGGGGGAGTTGGGTGGTATTGGCGAAATCCATCACATCTAGACTCTGTCAGACATCAACACACGCCCGGAGAAGCACGGTTCGGTCGTTTCATCCTCTCGTGAATCGGCAACGGCGCGCATTTTATCTTGTGGGGCTTTAGCACATTTAGTAGCCTAGGCACCATGGTCGTTGCCGTCCAACGTAGCTCGAACGACTTGACCATAGACTGGCAAGAGTGAGTATCAGGTTCGAGCCTCACAGGGGTCAGGTGGAATGCGCACTACTGATGATTATTGAAAAGACGAAACAGCGGTACAGTGCTTTTCCGAGAGTGTGATGGCTGTCCGACTGAGTCTAGGTGTGGTAAATTTCAACTCATACAATTATATTCTTCCTGGTTAATTCGGTCACACATATTGGTGGACTAGTTGTGGCATTCCACGTCCTACCTGAACTCCTGCTGGTGTGTTGGACGTCATATTGCTCTGCTGTGTCTCTGCAGTCAACCGGTTTCCTTACTTCAGTACCATTGCACATTACATTGGCATCGAGGCCGCATCTGTGATATGCGTTCGCATTTCGCTTCCATTCAGTCACAAGTACAGTACTAATGAGGACGAATGTGAAAATCACATAATAAAAGCCAAAATTCATTTATAAGACACCTGCAACTTGCCGACACCAAACGGTTACATCTAGCCAGCTACCGTCTGGAAATAAAGCGGCCTCGACTAATCGAAATCAGTGCTACTTTCTTTGCTCAGCATCGAAGGTAACGTACGTATCGATTGCCTCGACAAACACACCGGGAGGGACACACATAGGTCCATCTTCAGTACCGAGGACGCGTGGTGCAAAGCAGCTTTCACTGTCAAGTCCAGTGGTGCCCTCTAAACAAACCGAATTGCCGGCAAAAAGTATAAAGCCAACACTTGCTAGACAAAACCACGCTGCGTTAACCCTCGTGTGCACCAATGTTCACGAATCCAAATCTGGAACAATAAAAGGCAAGTTGCAAGACGATCGCAACCAGTGGAGTTCCATCTGCGAGGCGATTGACATTCGGGTTGAGCCTGCAATGCTGCAACGCTCGACCTCAGTGCACTCTGGTGAACCTCGAATTCTTCGAGTAACACTAAACTCAGCAGATGAGACAGAGGCTGTCCTGCTCTCAACAGTTTGTCTTCGCAACTCACCGAGCGGAGTACGCATATTGCCTGATCTGCCTTGGAAAGATCGCCCAAAAGAAGCAGTTGACCAACGCGGCATTGATAATAGAGATAGCAAGAAAACAATATTTGTTCATGGTGTTCCTGAGCTTCTGCATTCTTCTGATCACGATGCACAAACTCATGACCGAGAGCAGTGCTGCTACATCCGCGAAGCACTATCTGTTGACAATGTTATTGCCAAATCCCTGACAAGAGTTCCGACATCACCTAACTACAAGGGCTGCGGTCCAAGGCTAATTAAAGTAATACTACACTCGGAGGGAATGACGCAAGTTCTGTTGGATAGCTGGTTAAAGTTTCGAGCTAGGTTGCCTACAGAGATCCGGCTAAAGTGGATTACGCCAAGGATGCATTACAACTGGATTTATGTATCAAACGGATCTAAGTGAGCGACCATATTTTACTTTGCCCACTCTTTACCTCAATGATCACTGCACCCCAGTGTCTTTCTGAACGTTTACGCTCGATAATTTATTTTAATTTTACACTGATGTTACTTATCAAACTATTCATCTCGGCAGACGTTCGGTGGATGACCCAGACATATTTTGATTTCATTATATTCACCTCAACCATCCTACGGGACGTGTCAAGCACTTGCTTTTATCCCGTGATAAATCATTGTTCATTGTTCATTGTACTACATAGCTACTTTAGGATCAGGACCAATTTAAGACAGGCAATACGATTAGAATAAATTAGCTAACAAGTATCTCGATTGGGAGTAGATAACAGACCCTTTAGTTGTGCTGGTGAATGGCAGTGTCCACTATCCCCTGAAACTAGTCCGAGGCTGACCAGCCTCTTTGGATTTATACCCCAAATTCACGGTCGTAAATCTGTGCGAACCGGTGAGTACTCCATTTTTATTTGCTACCATCACCAACGATAACAATTGCTTAGCCAGTTTTGCGTCGTACCACTTTATTCCTCTAAAACTGTTATACTTCTACCTTTTATCTCACTGACACTCCTTACTTCAACCACTTATGTGCTTTGCCAATTTGTTAGTATTTCTATTGCCAACCTGCGGGACTCGTTAAGTGTATGCTTTTTTACCCGTCATATACCATTGTTCCATTGTTCCATTGTGCCATTGAATGAACTGCACCGGTTTGTCGTCAGTCACTTCATTTCCTGTTGTCAAGACAGTGAGTTCCCCTCCCGTGGTTCGCACTATTTCATATCCAGCAGGACAAATGAAGTTTCGGGCAGACGCAACGAATAACTGTGCGCACACAAGTTATAAAACTAACTGAACTAACATAAACACAGTCGCCTACTGCCCGTTTATACATCTAATGCTTATGGTCAAGTTGCTACCAACATGCGCGAACACTGTTCCCAGCGCGAAGAATCGCAATAAAATGTAAGCGTCTCAAGTTCAGATCGTAGTAACCATGCATGCAGGTCATTCATAAAGGGGGATAAACAAGGTCGTTAGGAAAACGGAAACCCGTTTCTGGAGCAGTAGCACCGAACATTTCCAAAGTCACTTCTGCCTCCGCTACGCACAAAATCATTCCAGTCACCACATGTTGTTGTTGCTAATGCAGATACCACAACGGCTTCACTAATCAATGTTCAAGTTTTCAGCGTTAGGAATCAAAGGGAAACCATTTTTTAACAGTCCCTTTGCGACCTGGAGACGTATAAACGTATGTTAACGAAGAGAAACACAGCAAACTGTCTGTTCTTCGCTGATTCTGTTGGCCGCCCCTTTTCACTTAGCCATGTGATGCAACCCACGTTGTTTATATTAATCAGCACTTTCACAGTAGCATTTTAATACCAGAATTATTGGATTACACAAGGGAATGTGCTATGACAAAGTCTACGACAAAATAGATTAAAATGGTTGGAATGAGTCAACTCTGGTTTGTGCTTCTTGTTGCCGCATAAGCCTTGACAATCCATCGTTAGCCATGTTATAACCAGGTACGTTCGAGCACACTGCAATAAAGTAAATACTTTTCTGGATAATTAAAGCATACTGTATGGATCGGCCCATCGAAACGAACACTATCCTATAGTCCGTGAACATAGCTCTATATTCGGTCTGTTGTGCATGTGACTCTGGCAAGTGACTGTCTATTCTCGTCTTGGCCAGCCTCCTGGCGGTGTATTTTCTCTATATAGTGTCGCTATCAAAGTAGACCAAAAATGAGACAAACGGATATCCTATGTTATCCAATGGCAGGATATTGTGGATCCCAAAGGGAGATAAAATTGGTTCAGTCAAAGCTTTGTTGAATAAACCGCCGACCACCAGGTGAACAGAGCTCACAGCAGTAGGACGTATCGATTGGAATCTCTTCTCAGCTATCGATCGACCCGGTTGAGCGACAAAATGAGGCCGTCAGCTAAAACATTCACGCTGTGTGAGGCTGAGTAGAAGTGTTATTTTACTCCATGATTAAGGTTGTGCGCTGGTGTAGGCGATAATGTTCACCTCGTATTGTCATTTTGAATGTTTCCCCAAGGTTACTGAATTTAGAGTACAAACCTGACACAAGTCAGTTATATGTGGCGATATGGTTAGGTCACTAAAACAAACGTTAATTACCAGCGTACGCAGTGCGACAAGAGAACCGATTCAATAGGCGGTCGTTCATTTCCATCGAAATATATAATGTTATTTAGGGTAACACGTCCATTATCTGAAGTCTTTCAGTGAATTGAGTGGATATTTTGCACATGAGCTCATTGAACGAAATAAACGAGCTTTTGTACATCGATTGACCTCAAAAATCACCGACAGCAGGGAACCTGCTGGCTTTATTAAAACAAGGTAACAACACCCAAATCTTAAGTTATAACAAATAATGTAGACTTTTTGTTTGCTAAAAACCACAAGAAACGTAGGTTCAACCCGTCCTTTGCTACACGTAGATCAGTTTCAATGATCTTGTTTATCTAAGTTTGTTGTCCGTTTGCATTGTCCGCTATACCAGTTGATCGTGCTTGAAATTAGCAATCTTTCTAACCATTAGCAAGCACTTGGTAACCAAAAATCTCTAGATAAATGCAGAACTAAACAGCCGTCTTATTTTGTTAGTATATCCACTGTCGTTGGATAAAACGGTTATGGGGATTTCAAATTCGCAATTCATTCCAGAGTTCATCACTAACTACATGCTTACTTTTGGTGTCCAGACCTCCCTTGAACCGGTCCCAAGATTTCAGGCAGATCTGATCTCCCAAAAGCTTGACAAACCGATCAAACTCTTCGCTTCCGCGTTCTGTATCGGAAGACAATTGTTGATAGATTAGGTGGATCAGCGATGACTGCTTAAGTGATTGCATAGCAATTATCATGTTTTCTCAGGTTGTTTGTCCAAGTAACTACAGTGGTCTCACTATCTGACTTACCATTGTTGTACATCTGCTCGTCGGAAGTTTGTCCCTCCTTGCAGTAGAGAACGCCGAACTTGAAATTGACTGAGCCCTGTGGTAAAAAGCAAGGCAAGCAGTCGTCACACATGTGCTGGCGTAGTTTGAACATCATGAAAAAAGGTGCAAGTGTATCCAGACGACACAGAATAGAAGCAAACGCGGTTGAACTCAAGATGCTTACAAACTTCGGTGTGACGCGGAAGGATTCGTTTTTTATGCAAATAGACTCGACTTGAGCGTCTTTCACACCAGTTCGATTCAGTTTGATGAGCGTACAAATATGGACAGATGGTGTTGTTCGGTTGTGGATGCTACCTTACCAGACCAATGTCATAGCTGCCCACACCATCGGCCAAGGCAGTTCACCGCGCGGACGTAAAAACATCTGGTCTCGTACTCTAAGCGGATTTACTGACACATCTCTCATGACACGCACGTTTGCTTACACTCATTTGATCCAGCTTCAGCAGCGCTAATTAGTACGTTCCATCTCTCGGACCTAACCTGCGTAGATCATCTGTGATTTTAACATCGTGGTTTTTGTACTGGTCCCACGGAAACGGAATCGAGGAATTTACCGAGCCCCAGGCCACTAAGCAATAGTTGTGGTCTCAAAGGAAAGCCAACTCAGAGATCTATAGGACGAGCTTTCAGTCACAGCTGTCGACCGTTAAGCGAAAAAGCTATCCGGCATTTTGTGTCCCCAGCGCTTACTCGTTTTATTTAAATCCCAGAGCGGAACGGGTAAAAGTTCCATCCGCTCAATACTTGTCTGCCAGCCGTGCACACATCGAACGTGTTGACCTTGAAAATACAGTGACAGCTAGACAACCACATCACTGACCGACGTAATGGTTTTTAACTACCAATTAACCGTTGCAGCTTGTTCCGCGTCAAGGTTGACAGTAGTGTGTGGCTTTGCTTCGTGTCCTAAGAAGGTACGAACCGGAATTCTATGTGGAAACTGTGAAAACAAGTTTCATTCTGAATGTGCAAAGTTCACAGTAAGCCAGTTGAAGATGCATAATAGTGAACCAGTTCTCTATGATTCTGTGAAGTATGCATGGTTATCCCACTGGTGAAGATAGTGCATGACCTAGTGCGGAAACATGAAAGACTGCTGGTGGCCATTGAATCAAACAGGAAAACCAAAGTTGCCTCATTTAAGGAACCTTTGACAGTGAGCAAACCCCGGAACTTTCCAGTAGGCTTCGCTACAAAACAGTGGAAGAATGCTGGGCAGAACATCAAAAATGCGTCTCCTGTGGTTTTAGAAGTCAACGCTACCAGCTGCCCAAATAAGCCTAAAACGAGGACCGCCAATTCGATGGGAATAAGTGCGATCTGGGCCTAATCCACCCTCCAAACTGTTCCAAAATTTCAGTAGAACGTCGATATTGTTGGTGGTTGGAATATGTTTTCTGCCAAAACCAACTGGAAACGTAGGTCGTCAGTTCCTCCCACTGGGCTCAAAGTAAATGTAGAGGGGGAACTTGTACTTTCACAGCCTCCACCGGTTGTATGTAGACCAGCTAGGCGGCTGACATCAATCCGAGCTATACGTAGTTTACCACCGCTAAGTAGCACTAACGTTCCAGAGTCAACAACAAATTTCTTAAAAGGAAAACAACTCTATGAGTTGGACCAGTGGAACTCAATATGCGACATCATTGATGTTGTAGTTAAGCCCTCCAAGTTGGCACGGAGCACTTGTAACCCAAACACACAGCACTACGGTGAACCGAGAATTCTTCGTGTTCTATTGACTTCCGCTCATGAAGCAGAAACTATCCCGTTGACGACAGCACGCCTCCTGAATTCGACAGATTCCAACCGCATCTTCCTGGATTTTCTGTGGAGCGAGTCCAAAAAGGCGAAACAAGATTTGGAAGTACACCGAAGGGAATCCGTGGCTAGGACCATTCTTGAACACGGTGTTCCCGAGACTGGAGGTCATGATGAGTACGAAGCGACCGCCCAGGATCAAGAGTAGTAGCGATACGTTAGCGAGACCTAGTCCCTGGAAAAGGTCAGATCACAGTTGGTCCCGTGACTTCGCAGGTCTTCAAAAAAGAAAGGAAATGGCCCGAGAATTGTGAAAGTGGTGCTACAATCCATGTAAATGTCAACTATGGTGTTGGTGAGCTGGTATGTCGGCCGTAACAGCCTTCGTTCCGAGCTCCGGATTAAGGCAGCTTCCTCTAAGCAAACGTACGAAAGCAGCCATTTAGTCGGACCACCTCCAGATAACGATTCGGATAACTTCACAGCTAACCAAATGAAACTGGCAAACACACCCCATACACTACATATAAAGAGAGAAGCATATAGGTACTGGCGGAAGCACTGGATCTGATACAGTTCCTCACCCCACCCAAAAAACGATGATTTGTCGACCTTTCACCGGTCGACACAATATCATACCCAAAATGCACCTCCCACGACTCATTGTCAAGAACATAGAAACTTGTCTGCCTGTGCACCAAAGCACTAGGTCTACTGAGCAAGCTTGCCGAACTGCAGCTACTTCAAGCATCATCCGCCTGGGATCCAATTTTCGTAACGGAAATTTGTCTGCACTCAGAAATCACCGACTCTGAGGTCGTGGTAAATGGCATTTGAAACAATCGCCCCTGTAACAGCGGTGGGGTACTGTTATACTATCATAATGACGTATAGTGCGAACCGGTGGACGATCCGGAATCGCTCTGGTGCAGTCTGAGACTAAGATGCGACGACACTTGAATTTTGGCAGTTGTTTATCTGCCCCCAATGTCCACCCCAGAGATGGACGCCCGCCTGATAATTCTATTGGTGCAGGTACTTCGACACCGATACAACCATGTTCTTCTCCACGATAACTTCAATGTTCACGATTTGGAAGTATTGGCTTCTCCCAACAAACAATTCAAGGCAGGCCTGCAAGATATTCTTGCAAGGATTGCGCTCTTTAGCCATGTCAGTTCGCCAACCAGAATCAGGGTGGGAAACAAGCAATCTGTGCTCGATCTAGTGCTCACGAACGAAGAGCTCGTGCTCGTGAAACCAAAGATGGAGAGCCCTCTGAGGTGAAGTGATCAAGTAACAGTACTTTACGACTGTTTGTTATGCGGAATGTCCGCAAGAACATAGTGACTTGTTTCAAACAAGCACCCATTACTATACACTTACCGAACTTGTTTGGGATGCAGTTTCGGAGTTTTCGGACAATTGCCCCATTGATACTGCATGGACGGATTTTGCTAGCAAGTTCAACAATCTGCTTAAATCCGTATCTGCAAACAAGCCCATTCGTTCTTCAAGAGCACCCTCAAACATTGGGAGCAGAATCCAAGAACGCATGGCGTTAAGAGACGCAACACCGCATGTGTACAGAGTGAACCCTACGCCTGAAATCCACACTCGTCCGTGAGGATAAATTAGTACGCCAGCAGAGCCTAGCAGACAGGTTTTGTGCTAACAACCAGCTTCTGAACAGCCTCCGGAATGTGAAGCTCGTTGTCCCCCACGCCTCAGCAAATGAACGTGCTCAAACAGCCGAGGATGCAGCCAAGGTTCTACAACTACACTATGCATAAATATTTCGACGCACCACCAGCAGACGTCACATACCTGTCCCATTCCCCCAGATGCGAATATGCAGACATCTCACTATCAGTTCGGCGACCGTTCTGAGGAAGTTAATATCGTTGCGCACCCATAGTTTCCCCGGAGTTGATGACCTTCTCCAAAAAGCACTGCTGTAGTAGGTACGTGGATAACTGAGCCAATACCACGATTTTTCCAAAGATGCTTGGATTAAGAGCAGGTCCCTGACATGTGGAAGCAAAGTATCATCACCACAATTTTCAAAGTTGATAGCCGTTCGCAGCCCTTCAACTATCGGCCAGTGATTACCCTCCCGGTGCTCTCAAGGGTGATGGAGTCAATCGTAGTTGAGGCGCTAATTGGTTACTTTGAAAGATCATGATCTAGATCTAGGTCATAGCACCGGAACAACACCGGTTTCGCAAGCATCGGTCAGGTGCTTCCACACTACTGATTGTGCGTGGCAGTTGAACCTAAATAGCCGAAGGTGGGACCGGCACTGCTATCATCAAGCTCTAATTTGCTAAAGCCTTTGACCACCGAAATCACCGGATCCCTCAGCAAAAGTTGCAAGCGTAAGGAATTGGGGACCCGGTCCTTGCATAGATCGGAAATTTCCTGCTTTAGCTGCGGCTTCAGATTTGGGTTAGGGATTCCTTTGCTGATCCTATCGACGTAGACTGCGGTGTCCCACAGGGATCGGTGTTAGGTCGGCGCCTATTTCTGACCTTCATCAAAGAACAGGCGCGTGTCATCGAGTCCAGCTTCCTTATTTGCTCCGAGGACATCAAGATTTGGTTGGTGATCGGCTGTCAGAACGATCAGGATGTGCTGCAGAGAGGCTAAAACCGTGCCTCTGAATAGTCAAAGGCAAAGCTACTTCCGTTTAACGCGGACAAGTGCAAGACTGTACACGTACGCCACAGACACATACATATAAGCTTGGAGACTACGTGCCGAAAACCGCCTCACATGAGCGAGAAGTTGGGGAGTGATGCAACACCACCTCGGCTGTTCGGCGCAGTCTTTGAAAATGTCCAAAACTGCTAACCAGCACCTTGGTCTCTTGCGAAAGGTGTTCGGGTGGTTCGGTCTCTCCATCGTCCCCAAAATGCTCCATGCGTAAGTGAATCCCCATTTGGAGTACGCGACTCATGTTTGGCAACCCTGGTTAAAACGCGACCAGGTTGCACTGGAGAGCGCAAAGCGAAGGTGTTACATCTGTCGATGATATTGGTTAGTTAGTTTAGCCCCACGGTGTTCTTATTGGTGTTCTTATTGGCATTGACCAATCAACAGTTCCGCACTCCATGCTTTAACTCGTGTGTCATGTGAGCCATGTTGCAGTACTTCGCCTGATCCAAGTTGTCTCATACTGTCTTTTTCTTGCCTAACTGCGATCTGGGGGCCTTTTTTGCTTGACTACTTTACTACGTATTATTGGCGACGGGATCCAAATTTACC